AGGTGAATAGTTGGCGAGGTTGATCAATGAATTCGTGGACTTATAGTAATATTTAGTTAAAAGTTAGGGCACGGCATGTCTTCTGTCCTTACCCATAACGTTTAAGATGCAGAAATGCTGCTTTTGGATTTTTTCAGTGAAAGTGACCGTAAATGATAGGATTTGTCGTAGATACTCTGCTAAGGATGGAAACAGATGATTTATGCTGCTCCTTTTCGATAGATAATAAAAGTCTGCGAAGAATCCTGAAGATGTGTCAGAAACCCCGACCAGAAATCAAGCAAATAATGAAGGAGCTGCCAGATTATTATTTAGTATAGATTTTTTACTTGTGAACAAATATGAGTATTATTGTGTTGGCAGAGAGCAACCTTAATCGTTGTTCATTATACTAGCCAGAGTTTGCAGTACTATTGCGCTGCACCATTGCCAGAGATTTGTCGGTTCAGGCAGTATTTCATGGCCTTTTGATGATTTTCTCATATTAACGATTTGAATTTCAAGCAGGGGATATGCTTGAAATAGCAGGCTTGTGTAGGTTATGAAAGCTTTCATGATAGATCGATTGATAGACGTCTCTGCCATAAAAGCTGGAATGAATCAAATCCGCAGATAAACTCTATAGTGTGTGATTTATGGGTTGATTTATGAGAATGTTCCTACGTAGTTCAGAAATTCACCGATGGATTTTGGATTTTTCTCCGCAATAGAGAACTGTGGATGTGTTACAGTTTATTTTGATGTTCTATCTATACATTCCCCATGTTTAAAAACCACAAAAAATTGTAGTTAAATGATTTTGCGGGCTTAAAGGCGATGAAAATTATAGCATTTCTATGTGATGAATAATAAAATTGCTAATAAAAACTAGCTAAACTTCTGATGACAGATTTAGCCAGATTCTTCGATTTTTTAGGCTTGAACCCTTCTAATAGGATTTTTCTTTCATTAAAATCTATTCAATTTTCTCTTCTTGGAAATGATTGTGTTGATTTCTAATTTGAAACTGGATTTCTCTTGATTGCGTGTTCAAAATTCATATCAACTCGATTACTTTTTGAAAAACGGTACTTCTTGAAGGAATATAACTACCACGAAAAAAATTAATGGGAATCGTATTTTTGATCTAAAACAAACAGTCAATGGTCAGAAGAAGTTTTTTTTTGGATATATATGAATATTACAAGACTAGACACTTATAATACAAATAAAAATCTAATATGAAAATAGAAACTCTTTATATACTTTTTGAGTCTTTTTAATACATGCTTGAATAATACTCAATGATAAACCATTTAAAACTTCATCGAGAGCATTTTCTAGTTCATATTGTGATTTAGAATTTTTGTTTGTATTATAAATGTCTATTCTTGTAATATTCATATATATCCAAGAAAACTGCTTCTGACCATTAACTCTGTGATTTTTGATCAAAAATACGATTTGCATTAATTTTTCCGTGGTAATAAGATTGTGCTAGTTTTGATGGAGTAAAATCGTCATTTTTCACATGCAAGTGAAATTTCATATGTTCTATCAAATGGTAATTTGAATTAACTAGATCTCGAAGCGTTCTCCTACAATTTCGAAAAATCCAAAGAAATCCTGGAATTTCTTTTGTTGAATCTGTCAATATTCATTCCAAGAAATATTTCAACTCTCACACTCGTGTATCAAACAGATCTCAAGAAATTTCATCGAATTGTAAAATCAGATTTTTCGCCCCTCTGATAATGGTCCCAAAATCTCAAAATACTATTTTTTCTATGAAATTCTAGCACCATATTCGATTAAAAGTTGCCCATATTCGTTAAAAGCCTTTCTATAAGCGTTCCACTCATGATATAAACACAAGTCTAGGAGATCTATTTAATGATGTCTGCAGATTTTTCATAGCTCATAGTAGGATTTTTTAGGTTTCTTTAGCATTATTCTATCAGCGCTGAAGTCTGATTTCAAACTGCGGAAAAGATGTGGATTCCACTGAATAGAGTTTGTCGAGTTCCACTTGGAACATAGGCACGAGAATGGAACATTGGTCGAAGTGAATATGGCCGCATTTTACAAAAAAAGGAAAAGAGGATTTTTTGGATTTTTCAACATTTCCGGAGTATGGTTCGAGATCTCGTTAATCGAAATATACTACTCGATAGGGTATACGAAGTTCTACTAGTAATATGACTATGGACGTTGGAAAATCAGCTCAGATGAGTATCTACAGGTTTTACTTGAATGCGATGCTAAATTCACCTACACAATGGTCACTTAGTACTCTTCACTACGATAGCTTGTGTAAACTATAATCTAAAAAATGCTACTATACTTTAAGCGAACAGCTAGTCATCGTAAACGACCGTTTACTGTGATACCCGAAAGTCGTTTACGGAGATTTTTACGATCCTCACTTACGACTACCGTATTTCATCGTAACACTTCGTTTACGGTAACAGTAAACGACTACAAAATACTGTCGCCGTTTTTCATCGTGAGTAATAGGTATACGGCCGTTTACGACTCAGGATGATCGACCTGGAATACATGATCAATCAGTTATGACAGTGTATGCCTTTCGACTCGAAACCTTCGAGTCGACAAAGAACAAATAGTTGGAAATTCCCAACTTGAAATTCGTGAAAGGTGAATAGGAAAAATGTAGAAAGCAAAAAAGCACAGTAAGGTGAATGGGGGAAATGCGTCATCAATGAGTACTTACACAAATAGTCAAAAATCTAGAGCAGTTAAAGTTCACACGGCACAGGCCAAATTTAGAGCAACAAAAAATGTCCAACTAATATTTATTCGATGCGTGTTGACCATGAAACAAAACAATGTCAATAAAAAATGCTCGCTACAGGCTGCTGATTGTTTATAGTATGAAATTTTGCCAATCGATCGGATGAATCGCTTGCTACAGATACGAGATTAACATGAATCTGTATAAAAATTTAAATAACGAACGAAATATATCCCGTTTTATGCTAAAAATTGTTATATATCTGAAGACTTTTCTAAAGACAAAGCGTCAACTCAAAAATTTATCACACGATATTCCAAGAAATATCTACAACAAAGACGAGACCTAAGCGAAGCGATCACAGCGTAACTTTAGACTTGAACAGATAAGAAGCATTCGATGACTTTGCTTATTTCATCAAAGCTCTCATGTAGGCTAGTATAAGCTCTAAGAAAAACTGTCAATACAGTTGCTTTTCTTATGCTACTGGGCAGTTTTCAACATTGCATGCCTTTCAAAAAATACAGTTGATGATGTTGATGAATTAACCAGCTCAACTCGGCCGTTTATTAGGCACTGCTATTGCCAATAGAATTTCTGTCACATACTTCAGAATTCTCAGATGCATTAAAACACTACCGAAAAGTTCTAATTTTTTTCGTATCTCAGCATTTCCTTAATACAATCCATCGCTTAAGTTAGAAATCAAACTCTGAACTGTTGCCAATAAACTAGTGAAAGAAAAACACGATAACATATAATTCAATCATTATCAACAATGAAGGCATGGCTATAGTCAGACAAGAGTTAGTTCGTTCTTCTACATTACACCTAATCTAGTCAAGTCTCATCAATCCAATCGCCTCTGCTTATGATTACCATTGCAAATTCCAGACCGAAAATAACAAAATTGATATTGTAGTTATTACGCATGAACACGCATTTGGCTTTTAGGCTTCATGCAAAAATATTGAAAAGTCTTTAATCTAAGAATGATGCTTAACGACAAAATATGTACTGCTGAATCATTCGTAAGGGGAAAAGGCGGGTTTTGGGATTTTGAAAATCCCAAAATTGGAAAGCATTTCCCGCCACGAATTACGTAGTTTCGACTTGAAATTCTTCCCATATATAGGTTTCATGATTCATAGAAGATCCTAAAAGTTTCAACTCGAACAAATGTTTTCTTCTTAAAATATTGAATTTTCAAAAAACCTGGAGTTTTTGATCGTGCCGTTAAATGAGCATTTCTTGTGCATTCATTATCTTGAGAAGGAAACATCCGTTTGCGCTGAAAATTTTAGAATACTCTAAGGATCATCAGACTTACACATGGAAAAAATTCAGATGCAAAATTCCATCATTCACGTTTTGGATTTTCAAAATCCCCAAAATCTCAAATCCGTCTTTTCCCCCTTGATCATTCGTCATGATAAAATTCGATTCGTATCTTTGCACCTCCCAGGTCGACTAATCCGACGACGGATTCTATCGGATCCCAAAACATCCTACTAACCGAAGTAATCCAGTTGGATTCTGGGTTTCGAAACTAATGACGGATCCGATGGAAGAATTTTAAAAAATATCAAAATTCTATTTAGTGCAAAAAAGCTTTTTAGAAATTGACTATAACAGTCTTTTTTGGCGCATCGGATCCCAGAGTAAGATACGATCGGATAGTATCGGATCCAAATCTCGGTCCGAAGTTCGGCGAAATCTGTTGGCTCTTGTCGGTTTTCATGTAAGATCCGATGCAATCCGTTTTCAGATCCGATTGGATCCGATTGTAGGAATGAACGAACTGGGCTATCATTCATCATCAGTATTCACTAGTTTACAATTCAGCTAAATAAGCAAAATGAAGGTTTATTTATTTTCAAGTTTTTCAATTTAATCTATGACTATTATTGATTCCTTTTTGAATAAAAAGAATAAATCATACATAAAAAGTTTTCGTTCACGGTTAAAACAGAAAGTATTTGCACACCGCAAACACAATTAAATATTCATAAAAAAAATCAAAAGGCGAAGAACAAACTGACTACATTATAAGAGATAAACAAAAGTACATTGCACACATTCACATAACCATGTTGGAGACTGAAAAGAAAGTTTCAAATACTTTCGGTCTATTTCTTCCGGAAGATCAAGAGAGAGAGAAAAACATAGTGTAATAATGAGATCATGCGTATTCCTTGAAATAAGAATAAAAAACAATGACTAAATAGTTTTCTTTGAGAGATTATTATTGCTAATGAGACTATAATTATTCCGCAACACTGAGAGGTCCTTCAAGAAATAATTGACGAACACTTAGTGATGCTGATAATTCCAAAATCATTTTGTGTACTTGAACATTTTCAAGAAGATCATTTGATAATTGCGGTTGAGACGATGGATAAAATCCAGAGCCCTAAATATTTATGTGAGCATGAATTTGATATTCATGTGAAAAACAAGCTTCTCTACCAGGGGGGTTTCACACCCACCCTGCTTTTGTTTCGGTCAATAAAACCGGAAAACTGTTTTAGGGATATTTTAGTGTCGGATCTATACGAACGAAGAAGAAACACACCCCGATTCTCTAATCATAAGTCCGTGCTCGTTGTCAGTTTAGTATTCAAGCAATCTCAATCTAGTCGAACTAAAAAAATTCAGTATAAACATTACTACACTGTGAGTGTTCTGAACACCTAGTGAGTGATCCTCAATTGAAATCGACGTTTATTTTGCACTAATATATTACCTTGAATGCTCGATGTAAACGAAGGACAGCATAACAGAAAACGAAACGTGCAAGAAATAATCTTAAGAAATCATCACCAATAAAATGATAGACTGAAACATCTAAAGAAAAACAAAGTTTTGTGTTTTAATCATAAAATAAAAAATTAAATAAAGTCTTACCAACAAGTTTTGATTTTAAGAAAATTTTTATTATTTCAAAAATAATCTTATTAACATTTTCTTGACACAGATTCCATTGTTCGCTGGTTAGTTCATTTAAATGACAAACAAAACAGAATGCAAATGCTGGTGTTGTTAAAAATAATGTAAATAAACTTCCTTTATTTTGATAATCTAATAAAAGCACAAAACACTGTTTTTGATCCGTCAAGTTGGGAACAAAAAAACTATGTCTTACCATGAAATACTGCGGGTATTTTAATAGGTGAAAGTAATGAAACCAATGGTTGACCAAATAAATTCGGTATGTTTTGAAATACCGTACTATGATTACTATCGATAATTAAAAATAATGGTTTACGTAAAAATGGATATAAATCTCCTGGAAATATATTATGAATATCTTTAGGAGTCGTTGTCGTTGTCGTCGTTGCTGTTGTTGTTGTTGTTGTTGTTGTTGAAGGTGATTTTTTTCCAAGAGTATTTGCCGGTGAATTTGAATTATCATTCGTTTCGTCACGACGATTATTAGTTTTTACACCACCAAAATCATATGAATGTTCAGTTTTTACCTTCAGATGTGTATCATAGCCATCAGCAGATATATAAAGAAGAAGAACGCCATTTGGCGGTAGTTCTTTAAATGCTGATGCGGTAAATGCGTAAATTTGACTGAATGTTGGCTTGTAGAGAAGATATTTATGAGGATTTGAACGTATTGATAATTCACCATCGGATAAATTCTAAATTTATTTTAATTTTATTATACGATTAAAGGCTCAGCTTTGACAAGATAGTTTTTGAGATATTGTCGATCAGAATTTATAAAGGAAAAAGGCTGTAGGTAGATACTATTTATTACATATGATAAAAGTTATTTGAATCTTTCTATTATGCTGAGATACAGTCTGACTATTTGTTTAATTGTATAATATGATGATGACGCTTGTTAAAGGAAATATGCGATGGACTTAATGCGAGACTTCTAATTAGTTACTGGAACTTTTTGGACATTTTAAAATAAAACTACGACTATTTCTGAGGGTTAGCACCTAAGAGTCAAAAAGACTACGATCAACACTATCTCAAAACATTCAATAATCTATTTCTGTAACCTCGAAATAGCTCTAAAGTTTTCAAGAAAGTAGTACATCGTAGCTATCATGAAAATACATCGATTTCTTTTTATCAAAGGCTACTTACAAGTATCTCCTTCTGTTGACTAGCTGGTGATTGCAGCAATGCCCTTTCATCCGACGATGACGTGGATTCAATGGACTGTCTTTCAACTGCTTGTAACATTCGATACATATCCAGAGTTACTAAACGAGAGAAAAAGAGAAGCCTCCTTTGGTTAAATGAATTCAACCAAAAGATCAAATGTTTTACATTCACTGAATTTAATTTGATCTTGATAATTTCCAATAATGATAATTTCTTCAAGTGAATATAATTGTATATTTGATAGGATTTTATCGGCACCCATGGGCAATGGTGGTATTACAGAATTTGTTAAACGATAATATAATGTAAGTGGTGTTCGATCAACACTTAATTGATTATCAATATCGATAAATGTTGAAACTTCATTTAATACAAGTTGCCATTCAAGACTATCGTCTGGATCGTATGCTTTAACATATTCATCGATTTGACGACTCAATTCACGTACTAAATCACGCATTATCTTTGTTTTTTTTAATAAAAGACAGACGACAATAAATCGTGCATAATAGCGTAATTTTTTGACCATTAAATCTGGTTTTTCTTCACGATTTACTTTTGAATAATAAGCACGTGTACGTATAGCCGAATAGAAAGCAAAAGCCTCATTTAAATAATTTGCTTCCGATGTTCGTATATAAAAATGATAATAAAGTTGGCCAATTTTCGATGCGATTTCACCGATTTGCCAACGTTTCAAACTAAGTTTTTTATCGAGAAGAACTCTAACCGAAAAAAATGGAGTACACAAAACTGATTAAACTAGAAATCAATTTTTATATACCTATGTTGTTGTTGAAACTTCCATAATTTAGTGTAAACATCAAATGTTCGTCCAAAATATGCTTGCCATTGTTTATGTCCATATTGTGGAAGATCTCTACAAGAGAAGAATACGAATTTATTAGATGGGTAGATTTAAATCATTTTTATAAAAAAAAAAAAAAACGTTAGCAAACTTTCGTTCGGATTTAAGAGCTATTGATCAGAATGGAATATCATTTTTGAGCAAAAAAGATTCAGTATTGAGGAAAAATCAGACTCGTTGATAAAAAATATATTGAAAAAATCGAATATTTAAAAATATGAAATAAATTTAAAAGATAATTGATATGTACCATGTTTTTTAATCGATAAATTCCTGGTGTTTCATCGACAATAAAAAGGTTTCGAAGCACTTATTTTAAATTTATATTTCTCCTTGAACAAAAAAGGAATTTTTAGCGACAAGCCTTGGAAGCTTCAATTTATCGCTTCACTTCATTAGACAAATCTCAACGAGATCAAATTGTTTTTTGGAGAATAAAAGATCGTTTGTATCCATTTCGAACTCATATCTCTTAATTCAACATGTTTTACATGGATGAGTTTATGCTTCAGGGCCTACTATATTCCTAGTTAAAGGGTTATAGAAAGTACTAATGAAGTTTATATTTCTTGATAACTCTCCAAAGTATACTTTTTAATCCAAAGTCTTAAACTGTACCTTAATCCATTAAATAGTTGTTTTGATTTATCAAGTAAATGAGTAAATTCTTGTACAATTTTATCTTCAGCATCGAGACCATCATTTTCATTTAAATCTTGATAATTGCCTGTTGAGACTAGCTTATCAGTTGGAGTCATATTTGTTGCTGTCATATTGTCATGATGAAAAAATATTTTTTGCACAGAAAAAAAATAGAAAATCTAAAAAACAAACAGATCTTATGAAAAAAATTCACATTCTTTAATCAAAACAAAAAACATTAGTATTAAATGGACGGAAATTTTTGCATTCAAACTTAACATTCTCGTGGTTTAATATCACAAATAAGAAATGGCTGGTATATTATGCAAACATTTGCATACTGGCAAAATTGTAAAATTTATCAACCTGTGTGCGTGCGTCAGCCGGTGATTGACTGATAAAATCTGAAACGAAAAAAAGATTCTATTCGATAAAAAGATGCAAACAGATTTAACATACGAGGTAAATTTTGATATTTCGTTGTTAATAAAGCATGAAGATTTTGCTGACAAATAGATATAGAATTGTTGCCAGCAAATTCAAGTCCAATAACAGGACCTTTAGCAACCAGTGTCACATATGATCGATTAGTACCAAACATGCCTTCAACACTCATTTCATCCATTTTATAGGATTTTGTTTGTACGAGTACAACCTAATTGAAATATATATATATATATATATATATATTAGTTCATTGATGAACATTCTCTAAAACAAACTTCAGATTGTGTCGCCATTTGAATTAATGCACGAGCACAAGCATCAGCATTTAAGTCTTGAAAAAAGATTACCAAACAACGCTAAAATTAGAAAATAATAATTATCATAATTAAATCATCGAGGGTATCTAGAGGGACTTTCAGATATCCTATGCAAAGTAGAGATGCGCAGGGTTACCCTACCCTGCAGGGTAGGGTGGGGTCAGGGTAAGCACCGGAAGGGTAGAACAGGGTCAGGGTATGCATTTGGTGGAGTGCAGTACAATATGATGCAAGTAAAAATCCAATAAATTAAAGTTGAGTCAGAAAAAGAAAGGAATCATGAATTGATCCAATCATAAATACTGCTCTACCAAAGAAAAAGCCAAAGAAAATGAGAAAGAATGATTATTTACAAGAAGGTGTAGTACTAGAATTTGCACTAGCAAGCCAAGATGATTCAAGTGAAGATGAAACTGAACGTTGTGCTAAAGCAAAATTAGTCATTAGTAACGAAGAATTTATATTACAATGATGGAAGCAGTGGAGTATGAATTATCCGACGCTAAGTGTTTTAGCAAGATCGTTACTAGGTACACCAGCTAGTTCATGCACAAGCGAAAGAATATTTAATGCCATTGAAAGAATCCTCGAAGAGCGACGCCAAAATTTAGATGACGATATTGTAGACGATATCTTGTTTATAAGAAATTTTAAACAGATTTTATTGTAATGTTTTGCAGATTACTTGTAATGAAATAAATGAATAATTTATGATACTTTAGTATTTCTTTCTTCAGTTCTAAAGATTTTGTAGGGTAAGGACAAGGAATATAAAAGTTTTACAGGGTGGGGTAGGGTCAGGGTAGAGGACCTACAGGGTAGGGTAGGATAAGGGTAAACGAAAACTCCTTTATCAGAGTACAGGGTAAGAGAAAACTTTACCCTGCACATCTCTAATGCAAAGTGAAATAGTTTATTAACATAAGAATTTCATGCAAGGTACTTCTCATAAAAACAGGAGTCATTCTAATTATGAACTCGAAACCTATAGTAGATCATAAAAAGAAACATCCTTCGGTCATGATTGACATATATTATGCTCCGAGTTACTCATTGTTTAACATGCATATTTGACAGATAAAATCAGATTTCAACAACAATTCAGATGTTTCTAATATAGAAAAACAAATTTTCGAAAAATCTGCTTTGTTTCCACTCGACATACATTTTATAACAAACTAAAAGCACAGCTTTTCCTGTTTTTTTCTGAATTATCTAATCAGAGTCAGTATTCAAAAATTTGCATTATAGTCGACATAAAAATACTTATTCTATTGATTTACTCTTAACCTTTCATTATTCTACCATAGACGAGTTGAGTGCATGTCAATTATAATTTGTCTTCGACAGCATTGACTGCAACGCATCGTTGTCGAAATTTTTTTAAGAAAAACATAACTTTAAAAACATGAATCGGTACAATTCACGTGGTGACATCGTAGGTGTCAATAGAATTAAATTAATTGGAAGATCATTCCGGAGCCGGAACTCGACAATAGACTTACATTGAAATAAAAATTATTTTTATTAGAGCAGTTTTCCATGTGAATACGTTTGAATCTATCTCGGATGAAACTTAACATTTCTGGTATGAGTGCATCTATTTGATTGATTTTTATAATTACCGAAAAAGAAAAAGATTCATTCACTGAGACTTTCATTAATACAAAAAGAATAAGTAAAGATTTCTATAAGAATGTTGACAGTGCCCGTTTTTTTTGGCTAAGCCCCATTATGAAATTATCTAAGGTCTTCTATGAGAAAGAAGAAGAAAAAAAATGAAAGATGACTATTATCTACTACTCGTAGATGGCGTCTAGAGAGAATGAAAAATAAAGCGTGTTAAAATGTATCATTTGTCAAGTGAATAGTTTATATGACTACTCGAATCTTGATTAGAAACTAGACAAATAACATGTCTCTATACAAGAATTCCGTGAGAAAAATTTACATAAAATATTCAACGAATTGAAAACTATGACAAGTGATGATGTTATTATGATAGATCGTTGCACTACGTCTCTTGTCAATCTTAGATGAATTTTTAGAAGAAAAAGAATAGTCTTTTGACAGTTTTCTCTATGTTACTAACAAGATTGGAAATTCGAGTCTTAATTAAAATAATTTCATCGGAATGAATCAGGAAATTCAAAATTCCATTCTCGCATGGGTCATAATTTATTTTCAATCTTTCATAAAGGTAATATGATCAATTCTATTATATTAATAATCAATAGAATTATTCGCTCATGAAGAATTTTCATAATCATAAATAACCAAGTCTTACCTCTTCATGTCGATCACGATATAACTGTCCGTACGTATAGGGTGTAACACTTGTATCATTGTCATCCTTGATATTTAAATGACTACATGATGGATCAACTGGCACTGGCAAATGTTGAAAAACACTCTCAGTCTATGATAATTAAAGAAACAAAATGATTTAGTTGTTTTTCTTCATTGAAAGTATAAATCACTTTATCAAGTAGTGAATAATTTTTTCCATCAGGAATCGATGTAAAATCATGAATATTACTCCAATTATTATTCCATGGACTAATATCAGCCGATTTATATTGCTCTATTAATAATATTCATAGAATTGAAAATATATTTTTGTTTTTGACAATAAATCTTACCAGCTAAATTATCATAATTTAATGTTAAACATCCAAATTTTAGATTGTGCGATGATTCAATGATTGGTTGACTTGCACATGATAAATAAACATGCGTGTCACGACAATCCCGAGTACGAAATTGTTGACATACAGTTGCTAATACACAATTAATTGAATCTCGAATGAAAATACTAAAAGAAATTGTTTAATCTTGCGTTCTATCTTTTGAAGACAACAAACGCCTTAGCTCACCTTCCGTGTACAGGACCAATGAATATGCAACAATTCGTACAATCATCAATTTGTACTTGACCAGTATGATCAAAAACGTAGACAGTACAATTCTATTTGATGATCAAGATTAAAGAGATTAGTTAAAACGGTTTCGCTTGAATTACTCACTTCACAATTTTGAACTAAAGAACAAAAAAAGAAGCAACATAGAGGGATTCATTTTTATCGTTGACTCACTTATGAATTGTTGCCCATTAACTGAGCCTGCCAATCGAAAGATTGTTTGGTCCTTTAGTTTATCGAGAATAAAATCTTCTTTTTTTATTGCTGCTCGATCAGCTCTTTCCCTAGAAAATTAAATCAAGAGTTTGATGCATACTAACTACAGAACAATCTATCACCATGAATAAGGTTGACGTGCTGGTGGCTGCTCTACAATATCACTACTAGCGGAAGAACCAAAGAAATACGAAAACAAGCAACCCATGTCTGACAAAGAATTTGTTGGGAGGGAAAAGAATTCTTTGCTCGTCTTCTTCCGCTTATTTATAACTTTATCAAGCTATTTATTTGTTCCATAGTTTACCAGCGCCAAATTCATTGCCTAAGCAACTTATTTCAATGCAGTATGCCGTACAGAAACAATCTACTCTTGTTTGCATTACCATGGAATTGAGATGAACAGAATTTTTCAACTAAGCATTCGAATATGTCACAGCAAGGAGCGGCTCTTCAAAATTATAACAATGAATTAGTCAAATGTTCGTATTTTACAATAAATTTTCTTTTTTATTCATCAGGCTACTGTTTGATTTTTTACAGGTATTGAAGATTTATGTGCCAAACGTGACGAATTACAACGTCAAATCTTAATCGAAGAAGAAGATAAACATAAACTTGAAAATGAAATTCGTATAGCAAGTGAAAAATTAGTTAAAATTAATGAAAACTTAGCGAAAAAAATCACTGCAAGAACAGAATTCGATCGAACAATAAGTGAAACAGAGGCAGCCTATATGAAAATTCTTGAAAGTTCACAAACACTACTTAGTGTAAGACATATTTGATGAATTTTAACTTCAAGCTATGTTTTGCTTACGTTTAGGTACTCAAACGAGAATCAACTTCACTTCGCACTAAAGTAGATGATTAGATTATCACAAAAAATTAGTTCTATGTGCCTGTAACTGAGTTTCTATGGAAGATGATATGAATGTTTTTTTTTCTTGACTTCATGTGTATAATGAAAATACAATTAATAAACACATTTCATAAAATATGAATAAAACGGATTTCCACCGTTTAACCAATTTCAACTTGTTGCTCCGCTACCGTTTATATGAAGAATTTTTCGATTGAATACTATACAATGGTTATCATCACTTTTTTCTTTATATTCCAAGGTTAATTAAATGATTTCGTATTAGTATTTTTCATTTGTTCAACAACGATTTTTGTACTATTGTTAATACTCATGTTATAAGGTATAAACAGTATTTTATCCATGCAGTTCTTTTTGTAATGTGCAAATAAAACGAAAAATAATATGTATCTGTTGAATATTGAAACATACTTCGCAGCAAGAGAACATGTGAAAAAGCAAATGAAAAGGTCGATACGCTAAATATCATCTCTTGGGTTAATTACTGTTCACAATAGGAAAAAAGAACGAACAGTATTTTTATGACACATGAAAAAAAAAGAAAAACTCTACTACCGATTTTCAAAGTGATCACTACCACGAAGTAGATCAAAAAATGTACATTTCACCAACCTAATAGAAGCACTTCTTTTATTATTTAAAACCATATAGCTACACGATGCAATTTTTAACTGAAATCATCAGTGATTTCATAAAGAATCCATTTGATAGTTTTTCTTTATGTTATATAATTACTTTCATACACATGTGAGCCCTTTGTTCGGTTATGTTTACTAAGGAACAGTTTACCTTTTCACAATCGATAATAACCGTTTGATTACATACAAAATATTTCTTTTATTTGACAAAAGAACGTTTGTTTTTCAATCTGATGATGCCGTTCTAAAATAGTTTGCTTCAGCAAATTAATGTGCGAAGAATGTAGAATGGCTGATAACAAGTCAGTAAGAAATATTCAGTTTTATTGTATCAAGTTATCTCATCAATCAGACAGATCAATACAGATACCAGTTTATCAAGAGCTCAATTTAAAATCTTAAGTAATAGCTCTTAGGAGAAAAAGTCAATATTTAGCGTACGTCTATTAGCATACAGACAAATAGCTATTGACAACATAAGCGACAGAATAATACCAATCGAGAATGTTGTCAAACGTCACTCTGAATAAATGAACTAATATACAATTCAAGATTTTCGATAATCATCATATTTTCTATATAATGAAATCAGTCTATTTGCGGCAATTATTTTTCTACAATAAAAATCTCTCTTATAGTAATTTACTCAAAATAGTTGGATTCCTGTTAAAAGAAAAATATGTTCATTGATTTCGTTCTAATGTTTAGTAACTCGATTAATTTAATAGCTCCTATTTCTTTTTCGGTTATGCATTCAGGCATCTCTGTAATTTTTCAAGAAGGAATTAACTACAACGGATTAAGGTAAATAAAAGAGAGAAGCTACAAACACACGAATTACATGGCCATAAGAAGAAAGAGAGAGAGAGAGAGAGAGAAAGACACAATATACGAGACTGCGAACAAACACATTATATGATGTACGCAAATTTAACAACTATATAAACATGAATTACAAGAAAAAAAAGTATTAATGTGTGTATACACATTATATAATCATACATGAATATTATTACTAACTACATCTAACATTCGTTTTTAATGTTTTATAAACACGTTCAAATAGTTCTTTATAATTAGTTGGTTCATAATAAGTATTTAATTGATGATCGCTTTCTAGTAGAACTTCATCGTATAATGATAGATCATGTTCCGGTGGTGAATAAATATTTAATAATACTGATTGAGCATTTTCATTAGAATACTTATCCAATAATTTTCGATAATTATTCAATTCATTTTGTAGAGAATCATTATCATCGCGATGTTGCCGTTCAAGATACGTGATATGATCTAATAGAGAACGTTTATCTTGTTCCGATTGACGAAGTTGATCATTTAATTTACCACATTCAGTTGTTAGTGATTTAATGCGTGATTTAAGTTTACTTAGATGTGATTGAAAAAGCGACGCAGATGACCCATCGAAGAGATTCGAAGATACGGAAGAATTTAACAATGGATTTGAATTACGCATTGAAATTAAACTAATTGAATTCGAACGTTGTCGTTTATTTGATATGCTCGTTGAGAAAGCTGGTGTTTGATAAGAGGATTTTGCTTGTTTTGAAATGAAATACGACGAAAATTGTTTTGCTCGAAATGTCGTATACTCAAGTTCAATATCAGAATATTGTTTGCGTGTTTTTTCGCATAGATCAAGTAATCTGCAAGTAATCAAATATGTAAATTTATCAAATTCAAGCAGAGAGAAACATTTCTCTATTCAATTGTCTCATGTTCTCTTTAGCTTCTTTTTTTAAAATTTGATGCGAAGAAAAATTCCCATTACTGATATTCTTAACAATACAGCAAATTGTCATTGTTTGTATAGACGTGTCTCTATAACCTAATTCACACAATAGTCTTATTAAGGATTGATGCGTATATTTTTGTATCTATTTGCATATCAATACGATCGCTATGATAAAATATTTTTTTTCTTTCAATTCTCTCTGGTTTTAGTACACAGCATGTAATCAATCAAATCTATCTCTAAGATCTACGGATTAGTTTAAGAATTTAACCAAATTTCAAGTTAGCTAACAGCACATATTAATTATTGTAAGAGAACTTACTCTTTGATGTGTTGTTGATTCTTTTCATTATCTCGACGTTGCGATGTGAGCTCTTGTTCAAGATCAAAATTAGCTGCATCAAGGATTTCTGTTTGTTTACATTTGGTGTCAAGTTGTTCTCGAGTTGAGAGAAATTTCGCATGTAATAACTTGAATAGAAGAGAATGTATTTTATTTTGTCGATTTTATTTTTCTTACTTTCATTTCACATTGTTTATCGTCAAGTTCTTTTTGCAGAACATTAATATAATTTTGTAAATCATGATTACGTTCAAGTAGATATCGACCAAGTTCAGCAGCTAATCGAAGATCTTTAAAGAAATTTATAATTTATTGAAGAAAAATCAATAGATATATAAAAATCGATAAACCTTTATCATAATCGCCAGGATTTGATGTTGTAAGTGAAGATGAAGAAGGAAGAGTATTGTTAAAATCAAGTTCTGCACCATCCATTACTGATAAGAACATTACAGACGCTTGTACATGTTGATTGACCTGAAATAGGTAGTGCTTTTGTGATAATGCCATTGATGAAGCCATGTGTATGTAAACTGTTCAATAAGTACAATCGTTTAGGCTTCAAAAAAGAATGAACACTTTGTATTCTTCTATTTCTTCTCGATAGGAATGAAGGTGGTGACTAATTAGAACGATGTAGGACAGTGACTATCGAGACATGCCCGAAGAAAAAGGGAGGAGAGTGAAAGTATTTCACGAGCAAACAATCGTATCGTCTTTATTCGTTTTCTTACCTGATTTTATATGTACAGGACTATACTGGATATAATGTGATGTGTTTTAGTTTGCTATGTCTATCAAACATATAGGCAAATATATACAGTGGTCCTCTCTCTCTCTCTCTCTGTTTCTCTCGACTACTTGTCATTATGTGAAAGAATATGTATGTTATTTCCATCAGAATGACAAAAATATTCATTGGTAGTAAGAGCAACGAAACGGATGAATATTAGATACACCTTGTCGTAATCACTATCATCTCGTATTATATGTGTAAACATGGCAGAAATACAAAGGACAGAAGAAAATGAAAGATAGGCTAAACAATCCCTCCTATCTATATCGCCGTTTACTTAGAGATTATACAGATCTAACAGGCACACGCATAAACAGCTGCGCATGTGCATGTAAGGTGAATCAAAAAGGTGTATATACTCAAACATTAGGTTTCATACAGACAAAACTGATCAATATCATCTTATTTTTTTCTCACCCTCATACGTACTCTCTCTCTCACTCACTCTCCCATTTTTCTTTTTACATAATAACTTTTACTGTGATTACTAGGGCTGCTTTTTTACTAATATACTCTAGTCAATGTGTGCGTTACTTTGAATTACAACATCATGATCAGTTGACCTCGAACATTGCATGTGATAAGACGAAGTTATATTTATTTTTATTGTAAGCCATTGCCTTCATCTCACTTTCTTCTTCTTCTTCTTCTTCTTCTTCTTCTTCGTTCTGTGCTCTTATACATTTGTAATTGATGAATTAATCGACATGGCTTTGTTATAAGATGTACTATGTCGTATACCTACAATATTATTTATAAATTTTTTCAATGTTGACTTTTAATTTTTTTTCACGTTGTTACTACGTAGATTTTATAAATAAATAAAAGTTCGTCTATGAATGATTCAAGAAAAGCGGAAGACAACATAAATCTTATTGATAAAAGTCAACTATTGATAATTAACTTCAATGAATTAATCCAACAATCGGAACATGAAGAAAAACACGCGTGCTCATAACTTTAATAAAATCAGTTAATTATTCTAGGCAAATATTTTTTATGTATAGACAATGCTAGTTAAGATTCACATACCCTTGCTACTTCGCGGTTTTGAATTTGTGTGTGTGTGTGCGGTTAAGAGATTTGTAATACTAAGTACAAATTAGTCAAGATACGCATTTTTCTTCATAGAAAAAGAGGAAGCAAAATGTCACTTATTCTTGTTTTTAGTATAATAATCAAATAAGTATTGCATTTTTTTTGCATATTCATATATTCTTGCATCGAGAACAGAAGAGCAAATATCTATTTTTTTTACATTAAGGGATCAGAGATGAATACTAATTCGCATGACATCAGATGAGTATTTGCTCGAACGCATCTATATATTACGATGCATACAAAATGTACCTTAAATGTATTTATATCTTATCTCAAACTGCATCTATGTTTCTTACATAGGAAACACATCGATCGAAGGCAACATGTAACGTTTCAAAAAATTTGACAGATATATCTACTATGATCATCATGAACAAGTTTCAATGACATGCAAGCATATATATATTTATATAATTATATAGGAAATATAAATAAGCAGAAATTTCAGACTGAATAATATTTTTATGATTCATTTTTTTTTTGGGTACTTACGTTGATCTTGTGCTGTCAAAAGGATTTACTTGGTGACGATACATTATTTACTTTGTCGTCGTATACTCATGGTCATAAAAGTATAGAATTTCATGTGGGATACTAGATTGAGAATATATTACTTTAACTGTAGAAGAATTTATTTCTAGATATAACTCATCGTGTTGCTACAGACAAATTTTCTTTAGCTATGTACAAATAATGTTCATAATGAATATTACGATGGAGAGAATGAAGGACAAAAGGTAAATTAATCTATCGATAATCTTATTTATTTTTTTTTTGTAATAATAGAGGTATTGATGACGGTTAATCATCAAGAGAAGAGCACTTTGGTACTATTTCAATATCGAGTCAAGGTTTTTAATTATCATCTAGTGTTAATTTACCTCCACGGATTACTAAAATTTAGAATCAGGGTCATATAGACAGTTATATTATTGCTATCACGTCTCGAATGAACACTTTAAGTTCGAATAATCAAAAGGTCCACTTCAATCAATGATTTATGGCCTTTAATGTGCGTCCCACTGATTTCAATTGATCTAAACAGCAGTTATTCTGTTATAAATATTCCCTACGACTCATGAAAGTGTCCTTGAAGTTTTGTAACCAGATGAATATTTTGCTACTGCAGTTTTTGTCTTCTAAGAGAGTGAATTAATCATGAAACCTTAAACACAAAAAGTTTATGAAGACTTTATATGACATTCGATCGTTCTGATGAAAGGATAAAAAAACTACTGACAGCATTAAAATATGTGTGAGTCATTGAATATCAGTGTTTGATACTACTATGCACTTAAATCCAATGAAATATATACCGATCACTTATAAATGCAGAATAATTAAAACGCCATCGAAAGATAAACCACCGCAAGTTATCATATAAGCATAGCCAATGAAAAATATTTATAAGAAAATTATGATTAAGATTTACAAAACCACTGAGAAAATAATCAAATTTCATCGATTGTTAATCTACTGAATCGTGTATACCAATGTGTTGCGGATTATTAGAAGAATCTAACAAGTGAATTATGCACGAAATTCTTCTTAGCATCGAGATTGTCCACTGAAGGGCAATGGTGCAAGTGAAGCTAAAAGAATAGTTTCATTAGAACTTCGTTATCAAGCTTCAATTAACTTTTATTTTAGAATATTTGCATCTAAAATCATTAGGTAAAATCTAAAATACATAAAAATAATTAATTAAAATTGAAAATAAATTGTCTTTTGTTTCGACAAGTCAATGAGCATGTTTCTCTGGAAGTCGATACGATAAATTGAGATATTTAAAAATAAATTCTTCTATCGGAGTATACCATGCTGTATTCATATTTCATTTTTTTAATTATTCCAAATTAAAACGATTCGATGAAGAAGAAAATTTGACAGCACCAATTGATGATTGCTCTCTGATATTATTCGCAAAGATGTTGCTACAAGTTTCTCGGCTAATATTCTTTCAGCACATTCACTATCAGTTAAGCCACAGCAAACAAAACATCGTTTGATAACCAAAAGCGCAAGGGGGAAAAGGCGGATTTAGGATTTTCAAAATCCCAGAAATTCCAAAATCCAAAAATCTAAAACTTGACCCACATCGTATAGAACGGTCCGTAAAAGGCCCTATACGACTAAAATCGGCAACCGTTACGATGGGTGTGGATGTGGGTGTGAGGGTGTATAAGTGTGTATGTGTGAGTAACGAGAAGAACTATGTTCACATCCCGCACCGAAACGAGATTTAGGATTATACCAACTCAAAATACGGGCAGAATTCAATTAGTGTGGAAAAATTTTCATTTACACTTGTGTCAGACTGACTGTTACGTCATTAATCGATAGAATTGACCATGCTGGGACAATAGAGTCATAAGAAAAGAGAATGTTTTTAATGATGCGGAACCCACATAATCGAGAAAAAAACATTTTTCTCTAATGGTCAAGTGTAAAAACATTTTTCCCATTGGATTTGACCAATTTTTTGCAGTAGCTTCTGCTGTTAAAAGAATACGCTCCATTGCATATTGGTACGTCTATCAATCATTACGTTGGAAACTGTTTTTACCCTGATGACTTTATAACACAATAGATTCGTAATCGAACATGAAAATTACCACTGAATGAAAAGCTATTGGATTTTTCTGATTGAGACTTCTTATAAGTCATGGATCATTCCCTCGTGATGAATGAAAGTTATCTCGGTAGTATTCTCAATGGTTAAAAGCATATATCGGAACATTAATAGTAATAATTGAGTACATGCAGCACACTAATACTTGTTCGGTGTAAACGTAAGGTAAAGAGGAATACTATATGGAAAGAAAGACGACATTATCATAATACTAAAAAATCTAGAGAATGTTAAAAATATCATCAACACAATTAACCTGTCTTCATTCTATTTTATTTTAGCTGATTACCAATTTGATACCTTCTCATAAGAATTCAGTTTGTTTGGGTATCGGAAATATTTACGATTCGATTTTCAATCGGTCTACGTTCTTTTATTTTATCAAATTTTTATTTTTCGTATGACGAACTAATGACTACTTGTTAGAGGTGAAATTAAATTAAGACCAATAAATACAAGCAATGAATAACTGAAGTACTTGGATATTTAGCTAGTATAATTTTATAGCGAGATGGATTTATCTGCGTAAGCTGCACAAAAGAAAACAACTGGAGAAGGAAAATATCATACTTTCAATCTTCATTCGAATGATATTATTGAAAAGCATTCTTCTTCAGCTTTTGGTACATTTCGCTGTGTTTGGAAATATATCGATCCTGTTGGATGCAGTTACAACAAATAATCTATCTATTGCTGGAAAATACGAAGCGCGTACTGGAAAAATAAAAATGAGGAGAAGAAACAGAATCAGCATTAACGACTAAATCGGAAGCGTATGATTCATATAGCTAACTATCGGAGAAAGTAGCTATCTAAAAGAAAAGAAAGACAAATATGGGTAAAATTCTTTTCCAAATCAATTTTTTCCAGAGAAATTCAGATAGCATCATTTTTAAACCTAATCAAACATTCTTTTATCAAATTTTCTGATGTATATGATATTTACATTCGAATATACACTAATAAATGAGAAATTCGGTGCGCTATTGGTGA